GCACCATAGGACCCTCTGCTCTGAAGGTGATGATAGTGGAGGTCTTGTGGTTTACTAGTTATTCTAGTTGCTGTTTGCTCTCTGGGTGAGCAGATGTATTTTTCTTTAGAATTTCTGGTTTATACTATGTCATACAACTACTTTTAAGCTTTAAAGTCCTGCCTGGTTTTATGTGGCATCAAATCTGAAGGACGCTCACTGGCTTCCTTGGTGAAGGAGAGGAGTGTGAGAAACCAGAGACTTCCACATGAAGTGTCTGGTGCCAGCTTTCACCTGCCAGTGGAGCTAATGACTACAGCACCGTGTGAAACTCCCAGAAGTAACCGAAGGTTTCCTTGCTTTGGAAGCTTTATTGGCCAGTGACCTGGTGGATTAGCTGTACTGCACAGCCAACACAGCACATTGCCCTTCTTGCCATCTCATATCATTTTAGATGTTTAATATAAGCCTGGGTTTTGGTTTGTTTTATGTTGTAGGCTTTTTGGTCTTACTTATAGATTTATTTGTTTTCCTACTAGAATACTGCTCTTTCTGTCCTCCTGGTTGCCTGCAATTTTGCTGGTGACACTCTGGAGGCAGAACTTCAGGCATCTGTCTTGGGGGTCCTTGGTCAGTTCTGGACTTTTCTCCAGGCTAAGCAGGTAAGAGAATTTACTGCTCCAATGGTGAAAGCGTGATGTCTTTGAGAAGCTGGTGCTGTTTCACAGTGTTTGTTACTAAGTTGTTTTACTTCGATTGGACCATTTCTGTAAAGCACAGTGTATCTGTGCTGCCCATCTGCTGTCAGCTGGTTTATGTATTCAGCAGGCACGTGCTCTGGGAAGCAGAGTTTGAATTTTTCTGAATGTTACGTATATGGCTCCTTGTTACTCCATCTGTTACTCAGTGTCAGATTCAGACTTGATTAATGACAAGTCAGAAATACCTCATTCTGATTCATACCAGTTACAAATTTGGCCTATTTTGAATGTTCGTTAGAATATGAACAAAACCCATGGTGATTTAATTAGTACATAGCTTAGCACATGAAAACCCATAGAGCTAGTAACCTTCCTCCTGTATTTGAGAACAAGGGGGTAAGAAGATTCCCCTGCCACTGTATCCCTGTTCACATCTGCAGTTGCGGTAAGAAAAAAGGATTGTCGTGGCTCATACTCTGGATTAAAAAATGAAGTTTGAGAGTTGGGGTGAAGAAAAGCCCCTTCAGAGGTCTTTTCAACCCGTGAAGACATTTGGCAACTGAACTGAAAAGAAATAGTTCAGATAACCTTTAGCTACTTATATTACCGAGTAGAGGGAGGACATGAGGGATAAGAAATATTCTTAAGATCAAAGAAAAGGGTCTTGTAAAATACGACTACCTAGAAATACTGATATGACTGTTTAAATATTTTCTTCTGCTGCTTGTGATGTGGTGTTTCATGTGAGTTAAGTTAGGCTAAGAATTTTGGAACGCTACTGTAACTTAAGCTTCCTTCTTAAGTAGTTACTCCATAAGCTAAAATACAATGTTACTAATATCTTGTGATCTGTTGAAGGTCTCAGACGAGCCAAGTCTCCAGCAGACAGTGTGTTTATTACTTCACCTTTTGGAATTTTTCATCCAAGCATTAGATGCTGAACTAATTACTCAGGTAAAAAAAAAAAACAAACAAAAAAACCCCACCTTCTTATGAATATTTTACTTCATGAAAACCAAGTTCTTTGATTTACTGAAATATCAAATGAGTTATTTTATGGTTTGGCCTTCTCTTAACTGATGGAGGTTCCTAATTTTATCTCTTCCTTGATTACTTTCCTGGTCTTTAAACCAAGTATATGGCACTTTGGTTAACATTGCTTTTGAGAATCTTGTTACTCAGTAAGATAATTGAGATATATGGATATGCTATAGAAACACGCCTATTTCTTTCTAAAATGCACACTGCAGCTTTATCTTAGCCAGTTTCATTCAAGGTGTAGCATAGCTCCTTTTGTTTCCAGTCCAGTTTTTGAAAATCAGTGATCTCAGATTTGAAGATGAGACAAAGAAGTTTTCACCTGCAGTCTGTTTGATGGAGCTTCACTGAGGTTTGTTTTCTACAGGTATTTGCACTGCAGTCTTCCCTTTTCCAGTTGGGTCCCCCAGATCATGTTCGTCTAGCAATGGTGGATTTTCTGTCTTCTATGGGAAAGGTGTTTATACCACAAGAAGCACAGGTAAATATAATTGTGGCCTTATTTAGATAATCATCAGTCTTTTGGTGAAAACATATGCTATTTATTTAAGTATAAAGGATCAAGTTCAGCAATACATACAGGAGTGCCATGACATAGTCATCTTTGAGATTAATAAACGGTCTATGGCAGTTTTGCTTTTCATTGAGACATGCTGAGTGCATGTAAAATGCTTGGTTTATTCATTTTTTTGTTGCTTCTCACCAGTTAGAAAGGACTGACACCTGAATCTCCAAGAAAGAACACGTCACCTCCCTTACGGTGGTTTTTTTTTTTTTTTCCCCAGACAGGGCAGTAGCACTCAGGCATTTCTCAAATCTGTCCCTTGACCTTAGAGCGATTCTTTAACAATAAGTCATGATGGTGAGATATGCACAACTAACTTTTTGGAACTGACAGATATTTGTTCCTCTTGCAGAGGCAAGTTGTACCCCAGTTGTCATGTTTGTTTGCTTCTCTGCTAGCTGACCAGACCTGGCTGATTCATCAGCACGCGTTGGAGGCATTCACACATTTTGCAGAGGTAGGCATAGCAGAACACTGGATGCGTGTATTTGGCTCTGTTAACTTTTATTGTACGGAAATTCTTCTGTCTTAAATGTTTGCTGCTCTTCACTGACCAATTTGCATCTTAGTATCACAGATGCTATCGCATATCAAAAGTAGTGAGGGCTAACGCAGTTGCAAGTGATATCGGGAGCTGGAAGTAAAGTAAGATGAAGCATTGGTTGCTTAGATTAGTTGCAGCAGGGAAGGGATTGTCATAGAAACATTTTTTATATTGTCTGTTCCTTTGTTAATAAGTACTAAACTATTAACATTTTTGACAGGAAACGAGCCATGAAGATGTTGTTCCTCAGTGCCTTAATTCTGAAGAAACTAAGAACAGAGTTGTCAGTTTTCTGGCTAAGGTATGTATGTCATTGAACCATTTTACTGCTTTCTTAGGCTGTGTACTGCTTGTAACAGATGTGTGCAACATCAACTATGTCTACAATGGCATGGTAATTAAATAAGTTTAAAATTTAAAGTTCTGTTAACTGGGATGTGGTTGAACTTTTCTACTTGCTTTAATCAGCAGAATTAACAACTCCCATTCCTATGCACGCTGCTCTTCCAGTACTTCCCAACTTTGATTTAAATGCTTTGCTTTTTCTTCCTTGAATAACAAAAACAAACAAAAAAATTAAGTTGCACAGTTATTGTTGTAAGCAGAGAAGTTATCTATTAAAAAGATGGGGATTTCCTTGTTTGGTTTGTGTAGTTTCCTTCCCCGTTTCACTTGGATCAGTTTCTGAAAGCTAAATGAACATATATGAAACATCCTTTTTGCATGTTACAAAAAAATTCTTTTAAGAGGAGATGGCTATTCATGCAAAGCGTAGACAATGGGAAAGGAGGCGGTGGTTATGCTGTAACCTAAGGCAGAGCTATCTGGATGAGCAGTTTTTGACAAGCAGATAATGAGCAAAAGAACTAATAGCTGCCAGTGATGCTACACCAAAGTTGTAGATAGCCTCCTGCTCAGAAGAGTGAGAAATTAGATTCATTTTGAACTGCGTGTTAAGATCTCTCCCTGCCTCCCTCCCCTCCCTTTGTTCTAGCATATAAATTGAGCCTATGGAGGTTAGTAATGCTGCCTTGGTTTAGTTACCTCTCCTGTGGCTTTCTCCCTAGACAAGGCAAGTAGAAGAGACAACAGAAGCTCGAACAGAACGCATGAAGCAAGAAAGGATTACCTGCAGCACACAGTTTAAGAAAATGGATGGAGAACTGGAGTCAACAGGAGAGGTATGTGACTTCTTTAAACTATCTGGGCTCTGTTGTTGATTTATGTCAGTTCTGGGAAGTATTTAAAGAGGTTCAAGATGGTCTTGCTGCTTTCCATGTTCTAAGAAAAAAGCTCACGTGCACTCCTGGCCTTTAGTATTCTACCTGAATGCTTTGTACTGCCTGCCAGCCAGCAAGACCTCTCACAAGGCAAGGGACTCTCTTGCAGCTCTTCTCCGTCTAAGGGGTTTTTTACATCTGGATGAAGACTGATCACTTATGCAGAGCATTATAAATGATGTCTCATGTTTACTTAAATCTGCAGCCTCTGGCAAAAAGAGCATGTCACCCACCCTCTGAGGAGCAATATAAATCAGCAGTAGGCACGATGGAGGGGGCAGTGGAGGCTGTGAAGCTGCTGCTCCGGAAGGGGTCACCCCCTGCTTGGCTTGCAGTGAAACTGGAGGCTCTACATACAGCTATAGCCATCCTCAGAGACCGCGTACGGTAAGGTGCTCAACAGGTTTTAAAAATAATAAAACAGCTCAGCACCCTGTTCTGAGGGAAGAGATGCCTTTGTACTGTGATTGCTGGAGAAGAAAAAAGCTGTGACACAGAGCAATGCTCTACTGTACTGCTGGGTCTTGGTTAATGTGCCAGAATGAACTGAGGTGTGAGATGTTGGCCTGTCTTTCACAATAATGGGCTGGAAGGACTAATATATTCTAATGGACACTATTGTGCATCTGAGCTGTCATTTTGTATATTGCCAATGTATAGCTTGTTCTTCTAAGCTACTGTATGGTGACAAACACTTCACAAGCTTGTATTTTGAATACTAAGATGTTTGAATCTCTTGTAAAAGTAATGGTTACCTTTGTTCCTGTTGTGTACAGGTAACCAGGCAGTAGGTGTTTTTATCTTAATTTTAAAATACACTCAAGAATAACAATTTAAGGCTCTATACTGTTCTCTGAACATACCTCTGCTCTTGGTTCTACTCCACACTAGGGTCATATTTTAAAAATAATCTTTATTAGTCACAGTTAAGAGCAGAAAGAGTGCAGTGCTTAAGCAGTTCATGTTCAGTGGTCCTTCACTGCATGGTTCCTAGCACCTCGTGTGCTATCCACTGACAGAACTATAAAACAGAAATAAATAAGTTGAGTAAACTGTACATTCATCTTAAAATCATCTCAGCTAAAAAGTTAAAAGGAGCCATTTCTAAGGGCTTCACTTTTCCAAAAAAAAAAAAAAATAAAAAAAAATAGGCACACTAACAAAGGAACTCAGTGTGACTTTCATTTATTGTCATCAGTTTTTCAGAGCAGGGATGAGTTCTGGAACAATCGTTTATACCACTCTTGGCCTCCGGTAGCATGTCAGCACCAACACACCCATCACGCTGTTCCTTTTTCCGGTAGCAGTGGCACGTACCACAGCTGGGCATATTGCTTGAGTGCAGGCCTCACCCCTGCAGTTTTTGGCACAGACTGGAAAGGAGCATCCATTGCAAGAGATCAGGCCCCATGGGATCTTGCTGGCTGCTGCAGCAAGCGCCTGCCTTCTGGCAAAAGCAGTGCTGAGGTACTTATCCATTTTACTGGGGAAGCAGCGACACACCATAAATTGCCTTTGTCTCTTTCAGTCCCATTACCAGTTAGCATCATCTTCCCAGTTCAACTCCTCTTCTTCACCCCAGCCTGCAGCTTCAGCCTAGAATCATGTAAAATTATCAACAGTAAGGCACATGTACTGTACTTAGCACAGCCAGCAGTAGCCTGTGCAGCTTGCAATGGCAGAGCAGGACAGTCATCCAGAATGCCAAAAGCCCCTCATAAGACCAAAAGTTAAGTGCCACTATTTGCAGCTTTCTGTCTTAAAGAACTTTCAACTACAAAAAGAAACACCTTAAAGACAACAGCAAACTAACAGGGAGAGTCTTCTATTTGTTTCCTAAAATTAAAGCAAGAACTACTTGTACCAAAATCACTTTCCATTAAGAACATGGTGCTATAAACTAGATGCTTTCTTTCCCCCTAGGAAACAGCTGCTGTCCTTTTGTATTCTAACACTATGACTTTGATCTCACCCGCCCACTGACTGCGCTACAGTGAGCAACTCCTCAAAAAACTAGAGTTAATACCACAAGAGTGCTTCTGAAAAATCAAGTATGCTGTTTTCAATTGTTATAAACAACTTCAGTTTACATCCAAGGCTCCTCTCCCCGTGCTACCTACTACCCCTGTGGTAGCTCTCTTGAGGCTGAATTAGCAAAACAACTTGAAATCAACACCTATTCCCTAACAGTTACATGTTCAGGTGGCAGTGTTGGGAGTGCTACCTCCCCTCCTAGGAAACAGAAGCAATCTCTAGAGTCTCTGTGATGGGGCTAGAGGGATTTACCTGCTTACCTAAAAAAGCAGTTTTATAACCCCTCCAGTTCTCTGAAATAGAGAAACATCTCAGCTATTCTTTCATGCAAACAAAGCACCCAAAAAGCTTTAATCTGTAATCCAGAGGTTCTGGTTTCCCGGTCCTTTATTTGCAATACTATTAGGTTTTCCTAGAAGAACCAGGAGTAACACTAAATCCTGAGCATCCTCTGTGCTTGAAAGCCCCCTTCTGTTTGTGTGTGGGCCCAGGCCTATTCAGCAGACAGGATCCAGCCTTGTTTTACCTGGCTGACAAACTAAGATGCTCCCTAATCTCCCTATCCTTGCATCCAGAATACAGCAGCACAAATTAAAAGCTGGAGTTAAAACTCGTTAGTCAGTGCCTTTACTAGGGTACCAGTCCATACCCTCACTGCTTCTTACCACAACTCTCTTGCTGCTGTAGTAATGACCTGGTGTTTGAATTACCTGCAGATGCATCATTCAGAGCTCAGCATCTTGTATTCACAGGTGAAGACTGAACTGTAGTCATATGCTGCTGATACTTTCTCAGGTTATCCACCATCTGATTAAGGAGCCTGCTGGTGCTACAACAGCTATGTATGTGCTTTAGGATCCTCTGAAGTGTGCAGTCATTTAAACCCCACTGCCTATATAGCCTCTTACCTCAATAACATCAGCTGCTGCAAATTTGGATGAAAACAGCACATTCTGGGAGGCACCTTCTCTGCTGGATACTACACCAGAGTGACTGGGAACAACTGCTTCTGTCCTCGCTTCAGGTAAAACCAAGATAGCTGAAGAAGGTTTAATGTCTGGGATCATGTCAGCAAACCAGTCCAGCTCAGGGTCTTGCACAGGTTTCCTCTTCACTTTGATCGTGAATTCTTCTCCCAGGCCAGACTCCGATGAAGACTTCAACCTTTCCTGAAAGGTTGTTTTTGGCAGCACAGTTCCTCCCAGTTGTTCCTGGTGGTCCCAGTTGTTATTGCTCCAGCTGTTCCCAGGGCAGGACTCTGGGGGGGCACTCAGTCTGAGGCTTTTGAATTCTTTGCTCAGTTGCGTACCTGGCAGAGGCCTCGGCGTTTCAACTGCATCAGTTTGTGTCACAGTGAGGCAGTTTCCTGAAGACAGTTCAGGACTAGGGCTGCTGGGCTCAAAGTCATCCCAAGGCTTCTCATCTACATCATGTTCAGCAAAATAAGGTGCCACCCTGCCCTGTGGCTCTCGGGGCCGAATTTGAATGTTCACAGTTTTCTCGGTGTCTGTCTCCTCTGGCTCACTCCAGTCTGGCCACTCCTCTGCTGGCTTTTCAGAGGTAGTCAAAGAGCTCCTGCTGCTCCCTATCGTATTAATGTTTCCAGGAATTCCGTTCAGGGGGCAGTGAGTGTCTTGCTCACCTGTGGAAGACAAAGGTGTTACATACTCATTTCAAGACAGCAAGTGAGACAGAGTCTTGCCTAAAACTCCTTGACATCACAGGTAGCACAGCCACCTTCCTGCTGGCAAAAGAGGAGTATTAATCTCAAAGCCCTGGGGCAATAGAAGCTGACTGCTGATAAACAATAGGTGACTGAAAAAAGGCCATAAAAGTAAACTGAGTCAGGTTCTGAGGCCAGAGAATGAGATGACCTATAAATCTACTGATCTGCTGAGCTATGGGAGGTGTGAAAAAGCACAGCAGGAAACCATAAGAAAAAAGAAATTCACAGCCAGCCAGTCAGCAGTCCATGTATATCAGATTCCCAAATAACTACTCCCTAGGAAGTGAAGGGTCACACTTTTGTTCCGTCAGTTACTTTCCTTGGTTTACTGAATCTTTCAGATCAGCACAGGGGGGAAATTAACATCTTTTCAAGCAACAGTTCATTTGTAGAACACTTGATTTCTAAAAAGCAAGAGCTAGGGCTAAGTTTTACCTGTCTTTACAGCCAGTGGATTGTCTTGTTGCACAGAAAGCTTCTTGACAGGTACATTTCCAGAGATGGGGAACACACTAGAATTGTTCTTCAAGGGCTGAGAGGTTTGATTTCTCTGATTGCTTACAACATGGCTGGGGGAGTCTGCAGGGATAAAAGAAAAGTATTAGTTGAAACTGCCCACGGCATTGGAATGTTGTTACTTACAACACTGACAAGCAATACTGAATGAAGATTACTGCAGCAATGCAACAGCTGCACCTCTTGAGCCATATGTAACACAATACTCCTCTGTTCCTGCCATCTGCAGCTCTTGCCAGTACAAAGTTTAGGCAACTGTAAATGGTCAGTTCTTGCTGATATGTTCTTTCAAGAAATACAAAGTGAACAAACTGATTGTGATCAGAACAGATGCTTAAAAAATGCTGTCTGCCACCTGGCTGGATCCAAAATCCCAGCTTCTGTACTGCGTGGCATCACAAATCCCCTCTTATCTGCCTCTCATACAAAAGCACAGCACTGATAGTCACAACAATTCAAAGCATAAGCAAACTCACGCGACTACACAAACCCTCTGTTATGCTTGGGCATGAGCAAAGCAGCTTACAGGAACAAGAGCCTCTATCCTGAAGGCTGTGCAACAGCCTCCCTCATACCACACCCGAGGAGAGGTGGCAGGCAGTAAAGGCCACGCTTGGAAGCTGCACAAGGCAGGTTTGTTTCCCTGAGCTGGCGATAATAGCTTGGCAAGCACCTAGTTCCAGTTCATTTTTGCGAGTTGTGGCGGTGATTAACCAGCACCAGCCTCGGCTGTGTGAGGCCCTGTTGCCAGTTTGGGCGAGCCCTGCATGTGCTTCTGTGTTCCCAGCCAACTGCACCTGCCTGGGCCAGGGGCTGTGACTGCAGCCAGAGACGCACAGCCTGTGGCACTGGAGAGGACTGCAATTAACACACGGAACTCACCCCCTCCCCAAAGTGCCCTTCATAAAAGGTACACCCTTTAGGGGCTTAAGCAAACACCTTATTTTAAGCCTCATGTGTTCAGCCTCTAGTACCATTTTTGCAGGTCACCACGCACATTTGAGGACAAAGATGGGGGGTTTTTTTGTTGTTTATCAATAGTTTAATCAGGTCTAATTTTAAATATATTCAGAAAAATAAACCTGGTTTTAGCATGCAATCCAAAGGGTTTTATTTACTATAGTCTACTAAAATAACATAAAGCAAAATAATGCAATGAGCCATCCACAGATTTTAATAAAGGGTGGTAGCTATCAGTACACACATAATCAGGAAGAAAACATTTATACTTAATTTGGTCTCTGCCATGCATTTCATTTGGTATCTATATGTCTAAAGTAGAACAAATGCCGATTCTTCCCTCCCGTTACAAGCATTCTTAGTTTGAATATCCAGAAAAGCTTTCCCTTAGTACACTTGGTTCCAAGTTATCTAGCAGGTGCAGGGACTACTTTCTTCATTTGGATTAGCTGAAAAGCCTCCCGAGAGCTGAGAAAATAGGGAAGTTCGTATTCCTTTTCCAATCTATGAATAGAAATTGGGGGAAGAGGATGAGATTTACTATTTTTAAAACCGTGAAGGACAGAGGGAATATTAAACAACTATCTGGATAAATACAAACTTCCTTTAAAGGGCAGTATAGTTTTTCCTCCAAAGACAAACACACACACTTAATCTCCTTTGCTTATGGAGATTCTTAATTTTAAGAAGATAGATACTTAAAATAATTTTTTCCCCCGTATATTTCGTACATTTAAAATACTTTTATGTAACTCTTGTTACGGTATCAATTCTGTATCTGCAAACAGCCAGCACCTAATTTAGAATTAAAGTTTAACTGCAAATTAACTTTTTTCAATTAACCTGTCAACGGCAAAAGATTAATAATCCAAGGAATTCTGCCTATGTGGCTTGGACAGAACGGGCAAGAACCCTGAGAGCACTCTGACTGTATCATTTACCTTCTGGGGAGAGATCAGCAGTTTTCATGAAACTTGGTGCAGAGCTTTTGAAAATCTTCGTTCTTTCTCCACCTACAACTACTTCAGGTCCAAGCAGGGAGACGAGAACTGCTAAGCTGTGCAGCGTTATCGCAACGATAGAGTCACTGGTATCTCGAAGGCCCAGCAATACCTACACCAAGAACAAGATAACATTACCGAGGAAAGAAAAACCTGCTTTTTCACTTCTTTCCTCTTTAAATGTTATATTTACAGCACATTTCACTTCTATGATCTCCCACATCTCTCAGAAGATACTGGACATTATTCTGTAGCATAAGATTGGCCTTCCACCTTGTGATACAAGCTACAGAGGGTGGCTCATCCTCATGCCTGGTGAGCACTGGACCCTAATGCCAAGGCATCCTGAGCTTAGACCGATCACTCTTCCATTCCTGACAGGTGTGGTGTGAACACAGTCTGTTGTTGTGAGGCTGCCAGTCGAGGCTGTCACACACACCACTTCTGTTGATACCTGTCAGAGGGCATTGGGTTTAACAAAACCAGTAACCCAGATCAGGGTGGGGTGTAAGGGTTAGGGCTCGCATAGAAAGGAGGTTGCAAAATGCCTGCGGCCAGCACTATGAGATCCTAACTTTAAGAACCAACGCGACCAGTAGAAATCCCATATTCTAGGATATACCACGTATTGTTTTGCTGTCCTTAACCTGTGGCAATATGATGTTTTTCAACTCCTCCCGAGAGAACAGTTCTGCGTAGGCATGAATGTGAGACAGCAACACCATTCGAACGTGCTCCTCGTGAACCTCAAATAGCTTCAGCAGCACAGGAATGACATGTGTCTGGAACAAGGCTGGTGACAGGAGACAGCTGGTCTGGCTTTCTCCAGTTTGCTCTGGGGAGGAGAGGTGAAGATGGGAAAAAGCTGTTTCAATAAGGAGAGACAGCTCACCCAAAGGCTACTCACTGAGAAACCATCACAGCTGAGATCTACAGTGTCACTCCACTGCCAGGTCTGATTCTTTGTCAGCTGCAAACACAGCTTGCTTGGGATGTCAGAGAGGGGAAGGAAGAGAGGCAGCAGTGCCAGTGTCCATTGCTCGATGGCAGCGGCTCTGAACACAGAAGGTCAAACAGTCACAGGTATTGCTTGGCTGAAACACCAGTAGCTACGTGGGAAAAACTAAGAGAGGGGAGGCAAAGAGCAGGGACAGGGATAGCTAGGGATTCAGCAAGACATGCTGAACACCCCTTACAGGGGAAAGGAGAAGAGACTGAGCACCCTTACAGGAGAATGAGGGCAGTGGCAGAAGAAAAAACGTCAGGGAGGATAGGGGAAAGGTGAGAAGAGGGATATGCAGTGAGCCACGGAGAAAGCCTGGGGCGGGTGAGTGGGGTGACACGTAAATCTGGGAAAGAGCCCAAGCAATTCCTAATTCTTTTCCCAACATCAGCAGAGCAGTGGGAGTACTGCACACGGGAACACACACATAACTGTCCTATCCAGTTCTGTACGTTACAGTATTTGTTCTGGTTAAACAAACACCACTGTTCCCTTGATTCAATGGAACGACAACTCTGAATTCGTTCCAAACTTGTCGGTGATAATTCTGAAGGGAAAGTATTTAAAGGTCACCTTTCTTTGGACCCAGCAGATGAGGAAGAAAACTCTTGACAGCTACAGGTTCTGCAAATACAAGCTGATTGAGTAGAAGAGGCACCAGCCGTGATGCTATCAGCTCCTCTGACAAGCCGGCCACCCTGTCCAGCAGGGATCTGTGTTCCAGGAGACAGCAATTAGTATCAAGGCAGCCTTCCACGCATTTACAACTGTTTCCATTAATATCGCTTTTCCCCCTTTTTGTGTCTGCTTCATCTCCTAGAGACAAAGTCCCGTCGCAGCCTCTCGCTCTGTGTGCACGCTAACCTAGGACAAGGCTCTGCCCCTGCCTGAGGCTTTCAGGCAAAGATAACACAAAGCAGCAGCTAGAGACACATCCTGTAAAACCCCACACTCAGATCACAGTCTGTCACAAGCGCATCTAGAAGCACCCCTGCACCTGCAGTTGGCTCATGAAGGCTTCACTCTCTGAGCAGCTGCCTACTGCTGTGGCATCAAACTGCCTCAGAGCTGGTATCTCCCATGAAGTGCTACAGCGTTAAACTGGAGGAGACAGTTGTCCTCTCACCCCACAACCTGGTGCATTGCCAGAATTTTCCTACTGCTTGAGAAAAAGCTGTTCTACCCACTGCAAAGGGCAAGTTTCCCTGGCAAAAAGGGAATCCCATTTTGAAACCACTTCCATTGAATATGTTTTAGAGGTGGCCAACAAAGTTATGGGTTGGGTTTATTTATTTACTTACTTAAGTCACAGAGTTTGATTTTGTGCAACTGCTCTTCCTTGTAGGATTTTCATTTTTAAAATAGCAGCAGCAGTTACTGGTTTTTTTCTAGGCTTGGAGGAGACTTCGAGCAATAGCGCACATGCTGTGAAAGCCCCTCTGCCTGATAAAGGGGCAACACTGCCATATCTTTAAGCAAAGTATTCACTCCCTCCCTCAGCAAACACTGCTGTTAGAGATAGCGGGAACCACTCTGAATGCTTCTGCTAAGATCCCCTTTCTCCACTTGTTTCCTTCACTTAGTCTCAAACTAGTGAAATCAAACTAGCGTTACAACTGATAGTGACCACAGAGGTATGAAACAGGCAGGAAAATAGCTCTGGAAGAACACCCAGGCTCTTCTATATGGAAAAAGAAAGAAAAACTCAGCTTCTCCCTTTTTCAGGCACAGATAATGCCATGACTACACAGAAACTTCCTCACAGAAAAATTCTTGGGGACCATGACAATAGGATTTCCTGCAGATGCTGCACTACTACAGCCAAGACATCCATTACAAACAACAGCTTTACCCAGACTGGTCTGGCATCACAAGATTAATTCATCCAAAATGTCTTATTGAAAACTCTCTCATTAGCAATTTAGAAGATCTGCCTAAATGGAAAAAAATTTCAGCCTCAAGAGGTGCCTGGTGCTAGACTTCCCTTTTTTGCAAAGTCACATCTAAAATAAAGCTACTTCTCAGAATGAAGCAAGGGGAAGATTGTTTTTTTCCAGCAGATTAAAAGAAGCACTGTCATATTTTAAGAGTATTTTGAAAGTGGGCGAGCAGATAGCCTTTGTGTGAAGCAACAGGGCCCCACGACAGCTCCAGTGACGAGCTGTTGACCAGAGCTTGAGCGGACGAGCTGTTAGGCCACACTGCCTCCTCTACCACAACGCTACAGCACACGAATGGGCTTTTCAAATGATTCCTGCTTAGCCACAGTGCAGCGGGAGACAGGACAGTGCTGCTAAAGTGGGCGGAAGAGAACCTGAATAATTTAACTTCTGCTAATAACATCAGCATTATGCCCCGCAAAGTGCATTAACTCAATTAGAACACGGACAATGGAAAAATGCTTTCCTTTTCATATCCCTGTACTTCTGGGAAGGCTTCTGGTCTTGGCCCTGCAGGAGTTCAGCCCAGCTGCTAGCAAGCAGATGGGATTCAGAAAAGCACACCTGAAGTGATGCATGTCACTACAGTCCGGTTTCTGACCAATTCTCCAGCGACAGCAATTGGTCTGTAGCAGGTAAAAACACTGCTCTCCATACAGCTGTGCACAGCGTCCCTCCAGAGGCTGGCGAGTATCAGAATGATGCAGAGCCTGGCAGGTACCGCTCCTCCCAAACATCAAACCATTCACAACAAACTGGGAAAGGAGGGAGTGAATAGTTTCGTGTTTGATGTGATTACTACTTTGGCTGGAGTACCCAAAATATTACAGAGCAAACAAAGTTCTGCCAAAGCAATCAAAATCTGGCACCTGAGGAACTACCTCTCTGGCCACCAGCCTTTCCAGATCTGCCCCCCCCGGCCCATTTGGCAGAAGTATTTCTGAAATAAGAAGCTTCCAGATTACAGTTCCTTCACTTACTTGAAAAATTCAGTTTTTTCTTCCTCAGACTTTAGTGTTAAGGTCTTCAGAAAGTTCACAACTTCCAGAAAATCATTCCTAAGCACAAAAATGCAGGCTGTCAACCGTGATCCTTATTGATGCTTAAACCACCCATAACTGAGAGATTGCAAATCCCCATCCTTCATTTAGCAGACAGAACTAGACAGAGGAACACAAGACAAACGCCGGTGGACCAAGAATGCCGGCGTGGGGGTCTGACCCAACAGCTGTGCCTGCACAGCGCTGCACTTTATGTCAGCAATTCACAGGAAGACCTGGGCAGTGTGGCATCAGCCACCTCTGACCACCTTCCTGGGGCAATAAGCAGAAGGAAGTGCCACCCAGAGAAGCACTCAGGTGACAGCAAACACAGCTCTCTGTGGATTATCTCGGAGCCTGCTTTGCTCCAGCAGTATCGCTAATGATTTTATTTTCTAGAGCATTTCCACCACTTCCCATGAGCTTAGGGAGATCCAACTGATGGTGTGACTATGGGACACACTTCTGTCGCCAGTGCTAGCTCAGCACCTCACTTGGAAGGCTGATGATTTCTTAATTTAAGGAGTCTTTTTGTCAGAGATCCCTGTAAGAGGCAGGGATTAAATTTGCACTTCCCATCTGATAAGGAACACACCTTCACAAAATTAACACATTTGCAACACAGAAACAAGCACTATCAAGACATACCGAGAGGGGCAGGATATTCCTTTCCTTACCTGAAGAACTCATGAGACAGTAAGCTGGACAGTGATGGACGACACTTTGGATCTGGATTCAGCAGTGTACTGTGCAAGGTTTGCTGAAAGCTGGAGAGAATGTCTGCTGAAACTGAAAGCCAGAGCGCCTACAGTTAGATTTCTCGCTGAACACTGAAGCAGCTCTGTTCAGGAGTCCTCCGCCCTCCCAAAAACCTTATTTTAGAAGCTCTATTTGATAACAAAACTGCTCATATACGTCCCTAATGGAAAGGGAAAACAGCATTTCCATTTCTCTCCCTAGGCTTCTTGGCTATTGGGGCACCAAGGAGTGCTACTGTCCTCCAAGAAGCTTCCTGCTCCCTCTCTGCTAGAATGCAGCAGCTCCCGCTGCGCTGTGGTACACAACATCCAGGCGCCCACGTCCACAACCCTTGATGAAGCGTCTGGTGGGTCAGAGACCAAGTGAACCTCTGACTGCCACAGAGCCAATTTGGGAGTGCTTTGTTTTGCAGGCCGGTGACCTCCAGCCACATCTGTCTGTGCTCAGATGCAGGAAGAGGGGAATACAGGAGAAGCTGAAGGCTGTATTTTAACCTAACCAACACAGAGAACAACGACGGCCACTGAACCTGTAGCACATCTGTCTGCTGCAACAAAAGGCAAATGGCTCAGTTGAGACAGGAAAGGAATAAGCTACAGAGGCCAGTCAATAGCAAAATAAACGTGTCATTCCTCACCCTGATCATTTAGGACTATCAGGAGGTTTTCAACCATTGTTCCAAACGCGTAGGCATCCCTCGCATGCCCATAGCTGTTGGGCAGAATTTTGAAATCCGCAGACTGAAAAAGCCAAAAGAACCCAAACGATCAGCAAAGCAGGAGTTATGAAATACTTGACAGTTTCCACGAATCTTTATTCCTCCCCCACCATATAGACTCTCAAATTCTTTTTATAGCACCAAAACTCCACTAAGTACTCTACAAGTAGATTATTACACTAAAAAAACCTCCACCAGGGAATTTATAACCCACAGGAGCAACTACATCACGATGAAACAACTCCCCCATGAATGCATGCAGCAATCGCAAGTCAACAACTTTCAGCATTTCTATGGAAACAGGTGTTAATTAGAGAGAAAGCGAGCGCTCCTTTAAGATAAGCAACTCATAGGATTCTTAATAGACAAGAGGTGACTAACAAGTTAAAAAAAAAAGGCTGTGGTATGTGAGAGTTACACAACCGTGTGACCACAGTGATCTGGGCAATCTCAGCAACCACTCTGTAATTTTTACAAAGCTTTGGTGATTTAGAAGCATTAAAGCTGCCACACAAAGGGTTTGAAAAATATTACAACGACCTGCTGTCCTACCACTCCTCATTCAGAATTTCACTTCCCTGTGTCCAACACCGTACCCAAACCAGGGATGGGAGGGAAGGGGGGGAAAAAGGAAGAGAGTAAACCTCAGGCATTATCCAACAGCCACTTCCTCCCATTCAGGCATAAAGAAATAAAACATGTGAATGAAAACTATTTCCCAACCATTGCACTTTTATTTGTTGCCAGCAAGATATTCCATCAGCAAGTGATGTTACTCACCATCTCCTCGCAAGGGATGCATGACTGATCTCGTACCGACTTGACGTGACAGAGGAACTGGAAGAAGAGGGGACACATGAGCTGCCTCAACCACTTACCTGTGCCAAGCAGCAGGAGCAGGCTCTCCCCGTGGGCCAGGGCTGAGCGGGTGGCAGGAGGTCCACCTCTGCCCCTTCAGCTGCCACCCAGGGCAGGCTGTGCTTTGCTCTGCCCAGAGCAGAAGCACAAATGGATAAGGTGTGAAGCACCAAGCTGACAGAAGGCAACTTAAGGGCATCACAGCCAACTCATCCCGTTAGTCCTCAGTCCTATCGTCCTGCATGATCCATCTGGACGGGGAAAGGATTTCACGAGCTTTAGCAGTCAGGTTTTACTGCCGTGCTCTTTGCATTGTTGTACACCAGTTGTGTATCTGCCTGATCCCTTCTGAAAGGTGATACACGCCAGGGACACTCAGTTGTGAAGGATTTGTAGATCCTCTGGGCAAAAACGCAATATACATTTACAACACAGTGCCACGCTGCAGCAATGACTCTGCACAGCATGCAGGAGAAATGAGGAATTTTTCTGCTAAGACCAGTAACAAGCAATGAAGATGCCAACAGCAAAAGGTAGAGAGTCATTGAAATTAATTTTTCTTGTTAATTTCAACCTGGATCTTCCTGCTTCACACTAAAGCTTTTTTTTTTTTTTTTTTAGTTTGTGTTTAACAGTCCAGAGGAACAAAGATTTCTCACTCTCCTCAGTCTCGACCTACCCTCCAGCCAGCAGTCTCCCTTAGAAAAGCAGCTGCTTTTTGGCTAATGGGGAATTGGTTTCTGTTTGCGTAGACATTGCAGTTTATAGTTAGGGTGTCCTTCAAGCAAAGATTCAGGTCAGAGCTGGAAGTGCACCAACACACGTAACAGTAAATGCAAGTAACTGGAAGGACTTGGGCTCTCGCATCCGTAAGGTGGCCAATTTCAGCAGGCCAGGAGCCCTCTCCCAGGCACCAGAGGGTACGCTTTGCTTGGCTCTTACCTCTGGGGTGGCTTCACTGAAGTTACAGACTGTTTCCATTCCTCCCAGCTTCCAGTGCCCATCCTCACTTACAAACACGGATGATAAACAGACATTGTTATGCGTTAGATTTCCCTAAAATATATAAAAAAAAAAAGGATAACAGACTTGGGGATAGATGAGAATGTAAAATCTTAATCAGCGCTAATTAGGTGCTGCTAGGAGCTGAGGAAAAGCAGCCAAAACCCACACAATTCTAAAGGTCCTGAAGGATTTTGAAGGTGACTAGCAGGTATTTGGCAGAAGGGCTGGGGTTTTAGAGCAGACAAAGCTCTCATTGTCAGAGCCCTTGCAATACAATTGTAAATCCAGAGAAGACCTCCAACTATGAACACAAAGCCCAAAAGCTACACTCTGAGCTGGGATTTAACTGCAGTCCTGGACAAACACACAGTGCCAAAACAGGGGAGCGGTGACACCGATCTCTGATATGTGGCAACAGCTGTAAATAAATGCCAAGTCCGAGCAACCCTATTTCCCTAAAGTAAGAAGCACTGCACGCAGATGTCATTTCACGAATTGGTAATGGCTGCCTTACTTCCAGAACCCACAGCATTTTCAATTACCCTTCCTCGTACAAAGCAGCCCGTGATTTCAGCAGTTTCAGCCTAAAAGAACTGGTGTATGGGTCTGTCTTTTTGCGAAGAACCAGGAATGAGACGGTCATCCAGGCAAGCCCAGGTACAATGTTCTCTTGTCACGTTTCATCTGGCTCCCACCAAAGCCTGACGACTGCTGCTGATGGTACCTACCCTGTCATGGAGGAAGATGAGCGCCAGCAACACGTCATAGATCCCTGCACAGATTTCTGCAGAAGAGAGCGTCTCCAGGACCATCTCCAAAGGCTTTACACGTTCTGTAACCAGGTGGATCCCATTTGCTTCCACAGTACAAGAGAGGAAGCGCAGAAGGCAAGGGTGGCGCAAGGTTTTCAGGTGCTTCCAGAAACAAAGACATCTGTTAAATCTCATGCAGGGCATCTCTTTTGGCTGCAGAGCTCAGCCTTGTGCTTTTAGCCACGTTTTCTGCTTGCATTTAGCTAGCCCAGCCCTGCTCCTCACCACGCACTCAGCACACTCATTCACTCATTGCAGAACCCCTTATAATATATCTACATAAAGTCTTACACAGAATAAACACAGTATTTTGGCTACGGTCCACCTAAGAAAGACTCTCTGACTTGGATCTGCAGGACAAGACCAGTACTCTGCAAAGTAATGCAGGTACTGCTGTCCAAACACCACTTCCCACCACTGCTTGCATCGTGCAGCACACGATGAGCTTTGCAGCTGCCAACCCCCTTCTTCCCCCAGTGCACGGCAGCGGTTTGCGGCCATGGTCAACTTCAACCTTTTCTCCTGCCCTTACTCCCCAAGGGTTTGACCCTTATTAACCGATTCCCATCCCTCCAAGAAAAAAAAAGAGGGATAACTCTCACAAGTCTGTCTCAGCCGCACTCTCTACCGTACCTTGGCAGCTTTATTAACTTTATCTTCGTTCTCTCGCTTGTACACAAAGACCGAAGCAAGTTTGCCATCTTGTAGCACGGCTGGATAAATTGTGTGTCCGGTTGGCAGTGTGAATGGTGGCTCTTCTAGTGCGTAGCTCTTTAAAGCGCTGTTCTCCGAGCCCATCACTTGCAGAGTTCAGCCGCTGTAGAGGTTCGCTCTTGTTGACAAACAGGCCTTTGGCCAAAGGAAGATTTTTTCAGACAGATTCTGTTCTGGGGGGCACTGTCGAGGTCACCTTCAGAGCATTTTCTGAAAAGCATGAGACAGCCATGAAGAACCTCCTCCTGCCAGCGTCCTCTCCTTCAGTTTAAAGACAAGAATAAAATCCCCATCCATTGTAAAGGAAATCGAGCGTCCACAAAAGGGTTCAGATCAACAGCTGAGCAGCTCTCTAGCTGTGGAGCTAGGACTGCACTGGTGTCTGTGCCAGCATCGCCACTAGACACCACCAGCTCTGCCACAGAGGAACTGACAGTACAGCATCCACAACTAGCTCCTGACCTGGCTACCAGACTGAGAGTCCACCAAAACCAGGATCCACCAATACCCCCGGTCATGCAGACACCTACTCCAGCGGTTTAATTCAGATTCAGCCCAGTCAGCAGTTAGGAACTATGACTGCTACTGCCTTAGAGCACAAGGAGCCCCCAGCCTTCTTAAAAGCATCCATTCCTCAATGCTCCAAGCCACAGAGTGGACCTACAGTCAGGTAACCTCCTCCAGCGGCATGCTTTCCCCCCCCCATTACCTTCTCTCCATCTGACGAATATTCCATCTGCCTGCCAACACTTCCTTCCTCCCACAGCCTCTGTCAGGAAGAGGCTGCCACAGATTTTTGTGCTGCTTTCTCACATACAAAATGGGTAAAACAAACACGCTGATTGCAGAGGCTCTTTCACAAAACACTGACCGAGCACATGCTCTGTAATCAGGCTTTGCCATCACAGGCTACGGCCGAGACCCTGCATACCGGTCTGTACACAGAAGTTAGCAAACGATCTTTAGTATTGAGAGAAGGACAGCAAAACCTCATTTTTCAGAAAAAGCGGGGAAAAACATTGCCCACTCCCACAATTTTTTTGTAACTGGAGAATCACTTTATGGCTGGGCATTTATCTGCATTCTCTGCTCTTTTCAGCTTTGCTTTGGTTGCTAGTTCTCCTGGAGTTATTTCTCAGTCGGATTTTGCACAGGACAGCTGAAAGTACCTGAACTGATCCAGTGGCTCACGTTCCTCCAAACACATTTGGATATATTCATCAGTTACAAATCTGGCTTCAGGGACGCCCACAGTTCAGAAATACTGTAACATCAGAGTCATTCAGATAACTGCGATCTACTCGAGTGCCACTGTGCGACAGCCAGCTCCAAACAAGCATCCCCCACTCCGGGCAACCGCCTCTCAGGAGGAGCCCAACACCCCTCGGTATCAAACGCCAGGCACCTTCAAGCGAGCGGCTTCGAACAACCAAGCAGCAACAGCAAGCAGCCTGTGGAACCACCAGCCACGCTTTTCAGGAACACGTCAGCTTCACAAAACTATCGCTTGGCTTCTTTTCTTTTCCACAGCACTCCAAAACACGCTGGCTATTGAAACTCCTGCAGGCAAAAGCATTTGCAAAGGGCTATGCCTAGGTGTGGCTAAAACCCACGGAGAAATTCTTCCAGTGCTAAAATAAACTGTCAGTCACACTACAGCGTGCATGGACCACGTATGCTTTGTGGGTTAGAAGCATTACCCACATTATAACCTTTTGATATCTTATTTTCAATAAATTGTAAACACAAACATTAGATGTAACACATAGTGTGCCTTGAGATGGAGCAGAGCCCGGCAGGGAAGGACAGAGGGCCTGGTAACTTAACAGCAATTTGGGTTTGCTACCATAAACTACGTTAAGAGATGAAATTTCAGTTTAGCTTCTTTATAGCATGACAGCACTCTGCATATGAGGCTTCTACCTAAAACGCATACACTAAGCCCTGGCACTCCACAGCTAAGAGCCAGGCAGCTTTCCCCTCACCCTGCCCGCAGCCTCCCACGCCAGCAGAGCCCCCCGGAACCCGCTGGCGGAGGTGATGGGAGCTTTGCTCCCAAAGGCAGAGGTTTCCCAAGGCGGCACCTGCATACGTCCAGCGGGCACCTTGCGCAAGCAGTGCCACCAAGGCGGACAGCTGGGCGATCGAGAGGCAACAGCCAAAGGACGCGTGATTTTGTGGCACCTTCCGAAGGACCGCTGAACCCCGGAGCCGGGACAGCGCAGGCACTTTAGCAGGGAGGGCTCCCCGAGAAGCACCAGCCTGACACCACCCGCCGGGAACAACCCCGCTGCCTACAGCGCTCTCAAAACAACGACAGTCACCAATGCGGTATTTGCTTTTTTTTTGGGTTCCCCCCGGAAAGGCGAGTTTTTGCCCCCACCGCATACCCCGCCTGCGAGTCACGACCCCCCGCACGGAGGG